CCGGTATGGCGGCACCACTCGTGCGAGAACACCACTTCACCATGTTCATTCATGCTTGTTCACGGAGGTCTGCTTTGCCCACCTGCTCCACGCCAGCAGGAGGATTTACCCGCAGTGCGAGGTATACCTTGCGCAAATACTGGGCCTGCAACTCGATGGAAGAGACGCCAGCCAACATGCCGGCTACTGTGCGATAGGCGCAAACGAGGCACAAACAGTGTTTGTTGGAGACACCTAAACGCCATGCACTCCCACCTCTGGCGTGCCAAGTCTTCCGCCCACACGAGGGACCCATACAGGACGATGGAGTGCACCACTATGGCGTAAAGACGCTTGCTCCTCTCGCTAGGGCCGCGAAGGTTAGGCATGAGCCACCCCAACGAGGCTATCATACGTTCTCCCCTCTCGAGCACGGCCTAAAAGTGGCCACGGAAGATCTGTCGATCAACAGGCCTAGATACTTCATGTGTCGTTGCAGGGACACATGCGCCCATGCGATCCTGACCCGTTCCGGCAGAGAGTCGTGGTACCTTTTTGCAAAGACCACTCTCAATCTTCTCGACTACCACGCGGAGACTCATTCTCTGGATGTGCCGGATAATCTAACCTAAATCTAACTTTTTTTTAACGTGGTGGAAATCCTTTATAGATACCCCGATTCCGAGGGAAGAAGTCGGGGTTATCCCGGACTCCCTCTACTCTCCGCCAAGAGAGAGTGGTGATTTACCCGCTAAAACTATCACGGTGTGCCTAACTAGCCTGTTGGAAAGAAACGCTTCCGGAACCCACTGTGTGACTTTGCCGGAACCAACCTAAATCAAATCTAACCCAACCTACCTTAATCTAACCCCTAACCTAACCTAACTTAAACCTAAATGTAGCCTAAATTTGTAATTCCATTTGTTATTCTTGTTAAAAATAACAACTATGTAATAACAACTATACAACATATTTAAAAATGAAAGTGATCTATGTGTAACGTTTTATGTATAATTATCATTATACTTATGATATATAGTAATTACTTAAATTAAGGGCCGAGGGGTCAAAACTTGAATCTGATTTAAAATGTATGCTATTGTACCCGTGTCCGATCAGTATTCATGTCCGATTGAATTTGTAATGTGTCTATTTTTTGTCGTGTCCGACTGAGACTGTGTCCGATTGATACACCTTGCCGTATCCGTTTTATTGTGCATCAGGTCTTTTCCAACAAAACTGCAGTATTGCGCAGACGTAAGCGCTGCTTACTAAAAGAGAATGCTATACTGAATTTAAAAAGAGAAGAGAATCCTATTGCGCATAGAGAAAGAAAAGCTGGCAAAGTGAAGATACCGTTGCGCGTGAGATTGGCAGGATACTCGCTGGCAGTCAATGATTGTGAAGTGGAAAAACTTTCAAATAAGAGAGATACTCGAAACGGACGAGTTTTCGTTTATCCGGCTTTTCTTCTGTCTATGAACTCACAAGGAGTGGGCACGAATTGCGAAATACAAAATTGAATGAGTCATAGTTCATTCGAAAGAGAAGGTCGAGGGTATAAAAAGTGTAAGAGGGTTTGAGTGCATGGGCCTTAATTTCCGAGAATTTTGCATGCAAAGTTAAGGGTGCGGCCAGCTGTACGTTAAGTAACATAAATAAGTTAGACTTAGCGTGAAGCGTCGTGGCTGCGGCGTAAAGCGCGCGCTTTGTAATTTTTGGCGTCCGTTGCGAGTTTGAAACCTCGCAGTGCCAACTTTTTTTTTCATTATAACGACTATATCTATCAACTGAATTAATTATTATTATTTTATGGAATAAAATATTAATAATAACGACGCAATTAATTAATTACGTATAATAAAAATAAGAACGTGGGAATTTCTGTGGTTGTTTATGTTTATTCATCGTGTTAATAAGCCGACATGTAACTTGCAATTTATACCTCCAAAGTGCACTCCAATTTACCAACCTTGCGATGTCTATTTTTTTAGACAAGTCAAAATTATCATTAAACGAATTCAAAACTGTACAGATATTCTTATTGATGGAGAAAAGAAGGAATTGAGAGAGAGAGAATTCTCGATATGATGCAATAAAAATTCAATCATTAACGCATTATTTATTATATGCTCCAAAATTTAAAAATATGGTACACTTTGCTTGGTACGCCTCAAAGTTGGCAAAGGAACGCGATATTTTTTATAATGTTAATCAATTGTGTTTTCCGGTCAACATACATAATCGCAAATGTTGGTGTACAAAAAATTATTCTTTCATAAAATGTTTGTAACGGTTCTACTTTTCGGGAGAAAAATATCCCGTTGTTTTGTGTCTTTTAAATTGTGCGGAGTAGCTCGTCGGTTTCCAGGTACAGGTAAGAAAATGAGTGGACTCGGTCGTTTTAAGTAACAAAATCGAATAAGGTTTATTCAATAATAAAAAAAGACTTAAACAAATAATATATGTACAAACAAAAGAAAATCGTTGAATAAGCGGAAGAATCTACGACACGGTACTTTCCGGAACGGTAGGCGTGAGACGGTCACGTGTTCGGTCGGTTCGTTCGGTCCTCCGGAGAGGAATATGTACAAACTAATAACAAAATACAATGTAAATGATACCGTATATTGAAGACTTAACGGTGCGGTGCTTTCCGGAACGGCAGGCGAGAAAGTCACGGTCTTGTTCGGACGGCCTGGCGGAGAATCGGGAGATTCTCCCGGAGCGGAGCGGGTGCCGGTGTACCGGGCGGAGGATACACGATTCCCCCGGAGCGCAGCGGATGCCAGTCTATCTGGTGGAGAATGCTAGATTCCCCCGGAGCGGAGCGGATGCCGGATTACCCGGCGGAGAATCGGACGATTCCCCCGGCGCGGATCGCAAACTGGTTTACCCGGTGGAGAATACAAGATTCCCCCTGGAGCGGA